GCACGATGGAGATTTTGCAATTATTACACTAAAATGGAGGGACCTGAGGTTAAATTCTTGCAAATTTTCAAAAAAAACATTTTTTGGGTGAGGGGGGGTCGGGGGGTTTCGAACGAACCCCCCCCGAAGCCCTCCCCAAGCAAAAATTTTTTTTTTTGAAAATTTGCAAGAATTTTACCTCAGGTCGCTCCATTTTAGTGTAATAATTGCAAAATCTCCATCGTGCGGGAGGGTAACAGTGAACACCCCCCTCCCACACCCCCCCGCTCGGTCGCTTGGCTCCCTCACCTGGTCGCTTACGCGCCCGAGCAGGGGCGTGTACAGGGGGGTCCAGGGAGTCCGGACCCCCCTTGCTCGCGCAAGAAAACGCATCTGAGGGGTGTAATTTTTAAAAATTACCCAGACCCCCTTCGCGTGCTCGCAACTATGGGTTACGGTTAGACCCCCCTGGTACAAATCCTGTACACGCCCCTGCCGGCAAATTGCCAACATTAAAAACGAACCCCCCCCCGAATAGAAAGCTGGCTACGGGCCTGTATTTATATAAGTGTTTAGCTAAGGCCATGAGAATGAAAAATCCGGTTTACCCTCCACGCCACGCATGCCGCTTTAGTCCCGCCCAAAAAAGTCATTATTTACCAAAAATTTCATTATTTGGAAAAAATTCCCTCAATGAAACATAATAGACTAATCACAAGGTGTACTTAGCCTAAACAGCAATTCTGATGATTTTTGACAAGCTTTGGGGCAGTCCGGATTGTACATGCCACTTTTCTAACCGCTAGACATATATCGAAGATGTAACCGAAGATGACGACTTCAAACCGAAAATTCCCGATTGAAAATTCCGAAATTCCAAAAAAAAAAACGATTGTTTATTGTCTGTACTGTATTTCACTGTATTTCAGCCTGAAAATTAAATAATGAATAATGAATAATGAAAAAAGCCTCATCACTTTTTATAAAATTCCTTGGACGGTAAACCGGATTTTTCATTCTCATGGCCTAAGGTATGTTAATCTAAATTTCGTTGAAAACTGAAGTTCCAAATGCTAGTAAAATTGGCAGGTGTGATAAGAAAGATGGCATATGTGTCATGTAAAATATCTTTCACCGCGTGCGATCTGCCACTGGCACTGCCACTGGCACTGGTGCCAGTTATAGTGAAAAAGTGCCAGTGGTTGTGTGTGCCTGTGACTGTGAGTGTGACACAGTGCTAAACTGCAAGCGTTTGAAATTGAAGAACGGAGTAGTTGGCTATCCCCCTACGGTACGGCTTATGCTAGCCTATAGCAAATTATGTTTATTAGCCAAATACAAATCAGTAAACTGACATTATATAATATGTTATCAATGATATATCAACCTACTTGCCGATTTACACAGTAATACACTGCCGACAAGAACCTCACTCGTTCTCAGCTGTGAACTCCGCAAATCTTCTGCTCCGCGTAAACAATCGATAATGGCGCCATCGTGCGGCGTACTCACTACGAGGTGCACACTTGTCTCAGCATGGATAGTGTTTTGTGTTACAGCAGTTGTTTCCTGATGACGCTCTTTAATGTTAAAATATAACTGAATCTATGCTAAGCAGAGGTAAGAATTTTTCTTGTATTGGTACGTGTGTTGAGAAAATACTCGATGGAATTAGAATAGCTTTGTGGTATATAGTTGAAATTCTACTTTTCTCAGGCTCTACTCCCAGTCGGCAGTCCACTCTCCAGCCCCACTTCGAACGTTGTTGACGCACAGA